CTTTAGCTAAATACGCTAAAGACACAGACATACTATATGCCATTGCTAATGCTAGCTAATGTTAAATACATTTCTTTGAGTATTTGTGAATGGAGAGGATAACACACAAACACATATTGGGTTATTTTCCCCAGTATGTATGTTTTTGCCCCAGTATGTTCATGTCATAAGTTCAGCCACTGTTTATCTGTAATAATACATTAGTTATTTATTAATGAGTAATAACAGTAATAATAAGTAATAATAAATTAGTTAAATTAGTTAACAATAAATGAATAAATTACCTCAGATCAGAGAGGAATATCACAAAGTTTGTATAGGGGTAAAGGTTAGCCTTTAAAGCCCTCCGGTTGGCCGACAGGCTATCCTCTATGGCCAGTGCTGAGCCCTGGCGTTTGGTCCTATGTGTGGCCTCCTAAGCTATGCCTCTCCTGTGTTCTATGTCATGCTTGCCTCTTTTTCACTCTCAGAAAATATTTTGTAGATTTTCTAAAGTACAGTACCAGTCAAAAGTTTGGACACACCTACTCATTCAAGGGTTTTTCTTTATTTTTACTATTTTCTACATTGTAGAATAATAGCGAAGACATCAAAACTATGAAATAACACATATGGAATCATGTAGTAACCCCAAAAATGTTAAACAAATCCAAATATATTTTACGTTTTAGATTCTTCGAAGTAGCCACCCTTTGCCTTGATGACAGCTTTGCACACTCTTGGCATTCTCTCAACCAGCTTCACCTGGAATGCTTTTCCACCAGTCTTGAAGGAGTTCCCACATATGCTCAGCACTTGTTGGCTGCTTTTCCTTCACTCTGCGGTCCAACTCATCCCAAACCATCTCAATTGGGTTTAGGTCGGGTGATTGTGGAGGCCAGGTCATCTGATGCAGCACTTCATCACTCTCCTTCTTGGTCAAATATCCCTTACACAGCCTGGAGGTGTGTTGGGTAATTGTCCTGTTGAAAAACAAAGGATAGTCCCACTAAGCGCAAACCAGATGGGATGGCGTTTCGCTGCAGAATGCTGGTTAAGTGTGCCTTGAATTCGAAATAAATCACAGACAGTGTCACCAGCAAAGCAACCCCACACCATCACACCTCCTCCTCCATGCTTCACGGTGGGAACCACACATGCAGAGATCATCCGTTTACCTACTCTGCGTCTCACAAAGACACGGCAGTTGGAACCAAACATCTCAAATTTGGACTCATCAGACCAAAGGACAGATTTCCACCGGTCTAATATCCATTGCTTTTGTTTCTTTGACCGAGCAAGTCTCTTCTTCTTCTTCTTTGCAGCAATTCGACCATGAAGGCCTGAGTCACGCAGTCTCCTCTGAACAGTTGATTTTGAGATGTGTCTGTTACTTAAACTCTGTGAAGCATTTATTTGGACTGCAATCTCAGGTGCAGTTAAGTCTAATGAACGTATCCTCTGCAGCAGAGGTAACTCTTGGTCTTCCTTTCCTGTGGCGGTCCTCATGAGAGCCAGTTTCATCATTGCGCTTGATGGTTTTTGCGACTGCACTTCAAGAAACTTTCAAAGTTCTTGAAATGTTCCGTATTGCCTGACCTTCATGTCTTAAAGTAATGATGAACTGTCATTTCTCTTTGCTTATTTGAGCTGTTATTGCCATAATATGGACTTGGTCTTTTACCAAATAGGGCTATCTTCTGTATACCACCCCTACCATGTCACAACACAACTGATTGGCTCAAATGCATTAAATTCCACAAATTAACTTTTAACAAGGCACACCTGTTAATTGAAATGCATTCCAGGTGACTACCTCATGAAGCTGGTTAAGAGAATGCCAAGAGTGTGCAAAGCTGTCATCAAGGCAAAGGGTGGCCACTTTGAAGAATCTCAAATATAAAATATAATTTGATTTGTTTAACACTTTTTTGGTTAATACATGATTCCATATGTGTTATTTCATAGTTTTGATGTCTTCACTATTATTCTACAATGTAGAAAATAGTAAAAATAAAGAAAAACCCTTGAATGAGTAGGCGTGTCCAAACTTTTGACTGGTACTGTAAATAAATCATGAAGTATTATAAGTCTTTGTATTCAGAACACAACAAGCTATCACAGTCAAATTTCATAAAGAAACTTAAATCATGTTTGTATTGCCACAAAGACAAAAAAGCAAATGTGTGTGTGTGTGTGTGCATGTGTGCGTGGGTGCGTACCTAAAGGGCATTCGGAAAGTATTCAGACCACTTGACTTTTTCCACATTTTGTTACGTTACAACCTTATTCTAAAATGGATTACATTTGTATTTTTCCTTATCAGTCTACACACAATACCCCATAACGACTAAGCGAAAACAGGTTTTTCGACATATATGAACATTTATCAAAACTGAAAAACAGAAATACCTTATTAACATAAGTATTCAGACCATTTGCTATGAGTTTCGAAATTGAGCTCAGGTGCATCCTGTTTCCATTGATCATCCTTGAAATGTTTCTACAACTTGAGTCCACCTGTGGTAAATTCAATTGATTGGACATGATTTGGAAAGGCACACACCTGTCTATATAAGGTCCCACAATTATCAGTGCATATCAGAGCAAAAACCAAGCCATGTGGTTGAAGGAATTGTCTGTAGAGCCCCGAGACAGCATTGTGTCGAGTCACAGATCTAGGGAAGGGTACTAAAACATTTCTGCAGCATTGAAGGTCCCTAAGAACACAGTGGCCTCCTTCATTCTTAAATGGAAGAAGTTTGGAACCACCAAGACTCTTCCTAGAGCTGGCCGCCCGGCAAAACTGAGCAATCGGGGGAGAATGGCAATGGTCAGGGAGGTGACCAAGAACCCGATGGTCACTCTTACAGAGCTCCAGAGTTCCTCTGTGGAGATGGTAGAACCTTCCAGAAGGACAACCATCTCTGCAGCACTCCTTCAATCAGGCCTTTATGGTAGAGTGGCCAGATGGAAGCCACTCCTCAGTAAAAGGTACATGACAGCCCGCTTGGAGTTTGCCAAAAGGCACCTAAAGGACTCTCACACCATGAGAAACAAGATTCTCTGGTCTGATGAAACCAAGATTTAACTATTTTGGCCTGAATGCCAAGCGTCACGTCTGGAGGAAACCTGCCACAATCCCTACGGTGAAGCATGGTGGTGGCAGCATCATGCTGTGGGGATGTTTTTCAGCGGCAGGGACTGGGAGACTGGTCAGGCTTGAGGGACAGATGAACGGAGCAAAGTACAGAGAGATCCTTGATGAAAACCTGTTCCAGAGCACTGAGGACCTCAGACTGGGGCGAAGCTTCATCTTCCAACAGCACAACGACCCTAAGCACACAGCCAAGACAATGCAGAAGTGGCTTCGGGACAAGTCTCTAAATGTCCTTGAGTGGCCCAGACAGAGCCCAGACTTGAACCCAATCGAACATCTCTGGAGAGACCTGAAAATAGCTGTGCAGCAACGCTCCCCATCTTACCTGACAGAGCTTGTGAAGATAATAATAATATAATAATAATATGCCATTTAGCAGACACTTTTATCCAAAGCAACTTACAGTCATATTGTGCATACATTTTTACGTATGGGTGGTCCTGGGGATAATAATAATAATAATAATATGCCATTTAGCAGACGCTTTTATCCAAAGCGACTTACAGTCATGCGTGCATACATTTTTTTTTTGTGTATGGGTGGTCCCGGGGATCGAACCCACTACCTTGGCGTTACAAGCGCCGTGCTCTACCAGCTGAGCTACAGAGGACCACATCGAACCCACTACCCTGGCGTTACAAGCGCCATGCTCTACCAATTGAGCTACAGAGGACCACAGATCTGCAGAGAATAATGGGAGAAACTCCCCAAATACAGGTGTGCCAAGCTTGTAGCATCATACCCAAGAAGACTCGAGGCTGTAATTGCTGCCAAAGGTGCTTCAACAAAGTACTGAGTAAAGGGTCTGAATACTTATGTAAATGTGATATTTCTGTTTTCTATTTTTATAAATTTGCAAAAATGTATTAAAACCTGTTTTTGCTTTGTCATTATGGGGTATTGTGTGTAGATTGATGAGGGGGGAAAACAATTTAATCCATTTTAGAATTAGGCTGTAACGAAAAAGTCAAGGGGTCTGAATACTATCCGAATGCACTGTATGTCTTAGCCTATCCACTGGCAGCACAAGTTGTTGGGACATTCCCCAGTCATTCGTCATTCATTATTCTTTCTGCAATAACGGGGGATTTGATTTGGGCAAATCGTAAAATTATGTGCTTTGTTGCCATACCTTTCAGATATTTTGGAAAACTCACTATAATGACCACAGTGCAGTCTCACCTCACTCTCTCTTATTCAAGTCCAGTCAGTCTTTTAAAATGAATGATTCATAGATTGATGTAAAAAAAAAAAAAATTGCCTCTTAGGGCTACCACCACAAGAAGATGGCTAAAGATCTGGGAGCACTGACTAAACTTATTTTCTTATACCCTAGCTAGGCAACATTATCTTCTCTATGGACCACTCCACTGGTCATAAAAGAGAAGAAATGTTTCTCTCTACTGGTGAAATACACTCATTACAACTCTAAAAGACTACAGTGGACTGCTGAGCTGGGGCACAGAATAGAAGATAATATTGTGTAATCACGCATAAATCTAATATATTGTATTTTGTTAACGAACTACAATAATTTTGCTCCAGTCCAGTCAAATGTTCCAGTCCACATTTGTTGCCGGTGTTTTCAGGGACAGGCAGGCGTGCATGAAGACAGCCGCCCAGATTATTTTTGACCAATGACGTCCTGTAGACAAGCCTAAAAAAAACGGAGATTCTCTCTGTGAATCACTTCCGGATTTGATCAACGCAATGACATGACAGAATTATTATTGTACACAATTTATATTTTCATAGAGTAAACGTTACATACTTTTTAAAAGTAAAATCTCCTTCCAAATGGCCATTAGCGAATAAGACACATTTGTTGTCAATGTCCGCATGGCATGCATACAGTAGTAACATGGGACTGTCAAATAACTTTGCATCTTCGTCTCTGTATACAATCTTTGATCGCTCCTCCCTCCTTCACGTCAGTCAGCCCAGTGCAAAAAAAGGGAACTCGTTTCTTAGACAATTTACATGAACGCTCCATAGTTTGAAAATAGTTCGCGCGGAAGGAAGTCCCGAGTACTGGCTCTATTTTGTTACCGGCACTGTTCTATCACCGATCGTTATGGATACTCGAAAGCGTCCCAGAGAAGATTTGCCGAATACTAGTACTGGTGACCAGTTCAAAACCCCGGAAAAGCGGGTTTCTGCAGTGGCCCTGCAGGATTTCACGAAGTGGGATGTGGAAGAAACTTGTAGATACCTGCGTCAGGAAGGTCTCGGGGAATGGGAGGAGAAATTCAGAGGTTCGGTTGTTGTGATCACATTATATTTGATTGAACAAGCCAATGTGGCTTGTAGCAAGCTTGAAACTAAATTGTGATCTGTGAAAGTGAGGGGGTCTGGAGCACCCAGAACGTTACCCTAGCTAGATTAGCACGTTCTTATCACTTTAACTATGCTCACACGGTTCTGGTTTTATGCCATGCAATTTACCTGTGACATTTTGTTCTCATTGTGCATATTTACAGTGTTCATGAGAACACACAGGAAAGATTACCTGTTTTTGTTTTGTTTGTCCCCACACAGAGCAAAAGATAACAGGAGTGGGGTTACCATACCTCACAGAGACACATCTGGACAATATGGGTATAGGGTAAGTGCACAGGAGGTTGGTGGCACCTTAATTGGGGAGGACAGGCTCCTGGTAATGACTGGAGCAGAATGGGTGGAATGGTATCAAATATGTCAAACACATGGTTTCCAGGTGTTTGATGCCATTGCATTTGCTCTGTTCGGCCATTATTATGAGTCATTCTCCCCTCAGCAGCTTCATGTGGGGGGATGGTTTTGGTATGAAAATCTTCAGTGGCATGCCAATCAAATGTGCACCTTGGTTTATTTGTTGTGACAGATGTTTTTCAGTCAATGCCGTGAGGGTTGTGTTCTTGATTGTGCTTTTATGATTATGAACTTACACACACACTCTCTTTCACTTTCTCTTTTCTCTCTCTATTCTCTCAGGTCTCTAGGCCCCCGGCTGGAGATTCTGCACTGCATGAGGAAGCTGTGGCAGATAGAAGAAGAGACCATCAAGGTAACACAGACAGCTGACCTAACCCCTGTTCCCTCTTCAAAGGCTAGAGAGAGTGAATGAAAGACAAAATGAAGGAGAGGAAGCGGATGAGGAAAGTACTTTATTGTTCTTCTTGCCCTGCTGGGTACTTTGAGCCCTCATGGAGAGACTAGGCATACAACGATTGACGGACAGGGTGAGGTAGAGATGGAGAAAAAAGGTGGGAAGTGCACAAATCACCACAACCACATTGCAGTAAAAAAAAAAAAAAAAATTACAGAAGTGAAACTCCCTGAGTAACAGCTGTTTTTCTTTTCTAATCATGTCAAATCATTACATTTTACATTTTAGTCATTTAGCAGATGCTCTTATCCAGAGCGACTTACAGTTTGTGAGTGCATACATTTTTTTTCTTCATACGGGCCCCCCGTGGGAAACGAACCCACAACCCTGGCGTTGCAAGCGCCATGCTCTACCAACTGAGCTACACGGGTCCTCTATTCTGTTTTTGATTATGTTCCCGTAAGTGTAATGGCCCCACCTCACCCACATAATTAGAGACGCACCCTCATTTATTCCCGAGAGAGAAAAAGAGGAAGACTAGTAGTAGAGTCAGTATGAGTATCAGCGATAAGGTGTATTATTGTCTCCTTTAGGTGTTTAATGACCCCATCCATGGCCATGTAGAGATGCATCCTCTGCTGGTCCGTATCATCGACACGCCTCAGTTCCAGAGGCTCCGCCACATCAAGCAGCTGGGAGGAGCATACTTCGTCTTTCCTGGGGCCTCCCACAACCGCTTCGAACACTCCATAGGGTATGATTGTGGGTGCTTGAGCACTCCATAGGGTACGAGTGTGTGTGTGTGTGTGTGTGTGTGTGTGTGTGTGTGTGTGCTTGAGTACTCCATAGGGCAGGGGTGGACAATAATTTTGTCTCGAGGGCCACATTGGGCCACACAGATATTCTTTCGGACTTATTTCTTTGTCAAAAGCAATTTGCGGGCCATAAAAAATACTTTATCTGGTTTTAGATGTTGAAGAGTGGCCTGGAGGTTTTGTTTTTTAACCCAAAAACCTTTGCCACACTTTTAGCAGTTTTACTTTAGTGCCTTATTGCAAACAGGATGCTTTGTAATATTTTTATTCAGGCTTTCTTCTTTTTACTCTGTCAATTTGGTTAGTATTGTGGAGTAACTACAATGTTGTTGATCCATCCTCGGTTTTCTCCTATCACAGCCATTAGTCTCTGTAACTGTTTTAGTTTGTCTGTTGTGGAACTTCTAATCAAATGAGAGAGACTTGGTCATTTCTTCAAACAATCAATCTTCATTTGATATCGATTGATTATTGCAATAATGGAGCTGGTCAACAAACCCCCCCGTAGGTGATTCGTTGAGAGCCCAACAAACAGGAAATGCTGACATCTTATATAGTGGACTTAAATATGCTTAGTCATGGCTGGTTCCACCCCTCCCTGGCAGCTCAGGGCATCATAAGATACCTTGTTTTCTTCTTGTGGCTATGTGTATTGGGTCATAGAGCATAAACAAGGGATAACGTTAGTTCCGTTACTCTTCTGTTCAAGCCAGCCTCTGTTCACCTCATATCTCCACACAGCTGTGCCCTTGACAGATATGAGAAGAAACAGGATTGGCTGAGACACTGTGCTCACTCTCAGAGGGTCTTTGTCTTGACCGTGTGACTAAGTTGAACAGAGACAGAGTGGGAAAAATACCAGCTCCTTCTTACAAGACCTTCAAACAGACAGTTGGAAATGTACATGTTTAAGGCTCATACAGCGCATGTGCATAACAAAAGTTGTAATTTTGCCACGACAAGTCCTGGAGCGCTTTCCTTCATCTCCGGTAACTGAGTTAGGAAGGACGCCTGTATCTTTGTAGTGACTGGGTGTATTGATACACCATCCAAAGTGTAATTAATAATTTCACAATGCTCAAAGGGATATTCAATGCCTGCATTTTAAATGTTTTACTAATCTACCAATAGGTGCCCTTCTTTGCGAGGCATTGGAAAACCTCCCTGGTCTTTGTGGTTGAATCTGTGCATTCAGAAAGTATTCAGACCCTTTGACTTTTCCCACATTTTGTTTTACATTATAGCCTTATTCTAAAATGAATACAATTATTTTTATCCCCCTCATCCATCTACTCATAATACCCCATAATGAGAAAGCGAAAACAGGTTTGTAGAAATGTTTGCAAATGTATTAAAAATGAAAAAACGGATGCCTTAAGTATTCAGACCCTTTGCGATGAGACTCGAAATTGAGCTCAGGTGCATCCTGTTTCCATTGATCATCCTTGATGTTTCTACAACTTGATTGGAGTCCACCTGTGGTAAATTCAATAGATTGGACATGATTTGGAAAGGCACACACCTGTCTATATATGGTCCCACAGTTGACAGTGCATGTCAGAGCAAAAACCAAGCCATGAGGTCGAAGGAATTGTCTGTAGAGCTCCGAGACAGGATTGTGTCGAGGCACAGATCTGGGGAAGGGTACCAAAAAATGTCTGCAGCATTGAAGGTCCCCAAGAACACAGTGGCTTAAATCATTCTTAAATGGAAGAAGTTTGGAACCACCAAGACTCTTCCTAGAGCTGGCCGCCCGGCCAAACTGAGCAATCGGGGGAGAAGGGCCTTGGTCAGGGAGGTGACCAAAACCCGATGGTCACTCTGACAGAGCTCCAGAGTTCCTCTGTGGTGATGGGAGAACCTTCCAGAAGGACAACCATCTCTGCAGCACTCCACCAATCAGGCCTTTATGGTAGAGTGGCCAGACGGAAGCCACTCCTCAGTAAAATACACATGACAGCCAGCTTTGAGTTTGGTCTGATGAAATCGAGATTGAACTCTTTGGCCTGAATGCCAAGCGTCACGTCTGGAGGAAACCTGGCACCATCCCTACGGTGAAGTATGGTGATGGCAGCATCACGCTGTGGGGATGTTTTTCAGCGGCAGGGACTAGGAGACTAGTCAGGATCGAGGGAAAGATGAACGGAGATCCTTGATAAAAACCTGCTCAGGACCTCAGACTGGGGCACACAGCCAAGACAACGCAGGAGTGGCTTCGGGACAAGTCTCTGAATGTCCTTGAGTGGCCCGGACTTGAACTCGATCGAACATCTCTAGAGACCTGAAAATAGCTGTGCAGCGACGCTCCCCATCCAATCTGACAGAGCTTGAGAGGATCTGCAGAGAAGAATGGGAGAAACTTCCCCAAATACAGGTGTGTCAAGCTTGTAGCGTCATACCCAAGAAGACTTGAGGCTGTAATCGCTGCCAAAGGTACTTCAGCAAAGTACTGTAAATGTGGTATTCAAGTTTTTTATTTTGTATAAATTAGCAAAAATGTCTAGAAACATGTTTTTGCTTCGTCATTATGGGGTATTATGTGTAGATTGATGAGGGGGAAAGAAACGATTTAATCCATTTTAGAATAAGGCTGTAACACAATGTGGAAAAAGTCAAGGGGTGTGAATACTTTCTGAAGGCACTGTGTACAGTGAGGGGGAAAAGGTATTTGATCCCCTGCTGATTTTGTACGTTTGCCCACTGACAAAGAAATGATCAGTCTATAATTTTAATGGTAGGTTTATTTGAACAGTGAGAGACAGAATAACAACAAAAACATCCAGAAAAATGCATGTCAAAAATGTTATACATTTATTTGCATTTTAATGAGGGAAATAAGTATGTGACCCCCTCTCAATCAGAAAGATTTCTGGCTCCCAGGTGTCTTTTTATACAGGTAACGAGCTGAGATTAGGAGCACACTCTTAAAGGGAGTGCTCCTAATCTCAGTTTGTTACCTGTATAAAAGACACCTGTCCACAGAAGCAATCAATCAATCAGATTCCAGACTCTCCACCATGGCCAAGACCAAAGAGCTCTCCAAGGATGTCATGGACAAGATTGTAGACCTACACAAGGCTGGAATGGGCTACAAGACCATCGCCAAGCAGCTTGGTGAGAAGGTGACAACAGTTGGTGTGATTATTCGCAAATGGAAGAAACACAAAATAACTGTCCATCTCCCTCGGCCTGGGGCTCCATGCAAGATCTCACCTTGTGGAGTTGCAATGATCATGAGAACGGTGAGGAATCAGCCCAGAACTACACGGGAGGATCTTGTCAATGATCTCAAGGCAGCTGGGACTATAGTCACCAGGAAAACAATTGGTAACACACTACGCCGTGAAGGACTGAAATCCTGCAGCGCCCGCAAGGTCCCCCTGCTCAAGAAAGCACATATACAGGCCCGTCTGAAGTTTGCCAATGAACATCTGAATGATTCAGAGGAGAACTGGGTGAAAGTGTTGTGGTCAAATGAGACCAAAATCGAGCTCTTTGCCATCAACTCAACTCGCCGTGTTTGGAGGAGGAGGAATGCTGCCTATGACCCCAAGAACACCATCCCCACCGTCAAACATGGAAGTGGAAACATTATGCTTTGGGGGTGTTTTTCTGCTAAGGGGACAGGACAACTTCACCGCATCAAAGGGACAATGGACGGGGCCATGTACCGTCAAATCTTGGGTGAGAACCTCCTTCCCTCAGCCAGGGCATTGAAAATGGGTCGTGGATGGGTATTCCAGCATGACAATGACCCAAAACACACGGCCAAGGCAACAAAGGAGTGTCTCAAGAAGAAGCACATTAAGGTCCTGGAGTGGCCTAGCCAGTCTCCAGACCTTAATCCCTTAGAAAATATGTGGAGGGAGCTGAAGGTTCGAGTTGCCAAACGTCAGCCTCAAAACCTTAATGACTTGGAGAAGATCTGCACAGAGGAGTGGGACAAAATCCCTCCTGAGATGTGTGTAAACCTGGTGGCCAACTACAAGAAACGTCTGACCTCTGTGATTGTCAACAAGGGTTTTGCCACCAAGTACTAAGTCGTGTTTTGCAAAGGAAAAGGTGAGAGGAGGAGAGTGCATAGATGCGAGAAGGAATTATACAATGAGCAGATCATGCTGTTTGTATGTGGCTGCTATGAAAGTGAACTGTGTATTCATTCCGCCGATTCTGTTGAAAAACGTTTCTTAAACAGAAGCAAACTGAACAAAATGGGAATAAACATACCTGAAGTTGGCCAATAGAAACTCTCGTTTGCAACTGTTGGATTTATGATTACACCCTAGATCAGCTAGATGCAGGCAAGAGTGTGCAAGGCGGTATTGAATGTGTCACTGTCTGTCACCTTGATCACTCAAATGTTTCTCTTGACCTGTGCATCTACGATGTAAACTTTAATTCATAGGCTAGGTTGTAGCAACCTCATGATGGGTATAGGGAAAATTTGAGTATTGTAGTAGCCTAAACCTATCGATGTTACATTCAGCTGGGTGAATGGAATATGGATGACAGTCATCCAATATGCTGTAATAGAAATAAGGCAATGCTCCTAAAAAATATTGCGTCCTCCCTCATCTTAAACGGCACCGACCACCACTGGAGTACTTATATAGCCATTTTTGGCAAATTCTATTTACTTTAAGGGAAGCTTAGGTTCCACCCTTCTCTCAGAGTGTACAGCCAATGCTTACACCAATCCTATGCTTTTAAATCCACGATGGAAAGTGTGCAAGTGCACACTTCTGGAAAAGGGTGGAGAATTGGGATTCAGCCTATGTGGTTTCAGAGGCCCTACCCTGCATTTTAAAAGGCACAACATAAACTGGCCTAGTTCCTTTTCAGACCCTAGCCCCTTCCCTAAGCTCCCACCCTTGTGGTTGCCTGGCAGGTGTAATGGGTTGTACAATGGTTATTCATTGGTTGTGTTGTGGTCATGTGTTTCAGGGTGTGCTACCTAGCAGGTCAGCTGGTCCAGGAGTTGAATAAGAGACAACCAGAGCTCTTCATCTCCCGTAGAGACATCCTGTGTGTCCAGATCGCTGGGCTCTGTCACGACTTGGGTGAGTTTCTCACGCACACGCACACACACACACACACACTCCCTCTTTTCCAATCTTATTCTCTGTTGAATGTGATCTCTCTCCAGGTCATGGTCCTTTCTCCCATATGTTTGATAGGATGTTCATCCCCAAAATCCGTCCAACGTCCCAGTGGAAGGTAAGACTACAGTCTGAATAACCTCCTCTTTCTTGTCATACCCTTCTCTCCTCATCTTCCTGTGTGGGCGCGAGAACGTATGTGTCACGTGTGTATTTATGTGTGTGTTGCAGCATGAGGAGGCGTCCCTGGCGATGTTTGACCACCTGGTGTCTGTGAACGCCTTGGAGCAGGTGATGAATGATCATGGCCTGGTCCTACCTGAAGACCTGGTCTTCATCAAGGAGCAGATCGCTGGACCACAGAACACTGGCCCTCTCAGCCAGGGGGTGAGTCAGTCAGCCATTCAATCAGCCATTCAGCAAACCAGTCAGCAAGCCAGTCAGCTAGCCAGCCAGTCAGCTAGCTAGCTAGTCAGTCAACCAGTCAGTCAGCCAGTCAATCAACCTCAATCAATTAAGCATTTAAGCATCATTAAACATCAATCAACATTTTATAAAGTACTTTATTAATATGATTTATTGATGGCTACTAGTAGTGTATTGTCTACGGGTTAAATTCAAACTCTTAAAGGGATAATGCGAGATTCTGGCATTTAAGCCCTTGTTCAGATAAACTTGTGGATACGCTAGTTAGCATTTGCTCGCTAAACTACCGCTAACCTACTTCGTACTGCACACAGAGACATGGAAATGGTATCCACAAGTTCATCTGACTCTGGTTAAGTATCCAGCAGTATTCCTTGAACTAATTTGGAGTTACTGTACATGCTCGGATCTCAAAGGATTCGTCTAATTCTGAGTCTGTTGTTGTCTTTCCACAGTGGCCTTATGAGGGCCGTCCGGAGGAGAAGTCCTTCCTCTATGAGATTGTGGCCAACAAAAGGACCGGCATCGATGTGGACAAGTGGGACTACTTCGCCAGGTGAGTCCCCGAGTTGGAGTTGATCTCTTTTAGAAACCATCATCAGTTACTGGAGTAAGCTACATTCACACACACTGTATATATATTTTCTGTTGTATATTTGACTTTATGTTTTGTTTACCCCATATGTAACTCTGTGTTGTTTTTATCGCACTGCTTTGCTTTATCTTGGCCAGGTCGCAGTTGTAAATGAGAACTTGTTCTCAACTGGCTTACCTGGTTAAATAAAGGTGAAATAAAATTTAAAATAAATAAATATGGAGTACCACAGTATCTGTCATAATACCCATAAAACCTAGCGGTCTAACAGGGAAATGGTTCCAGTTGTTTTTCCACCATACATTTTTCCCATAGTGGATTTTAGAAACACTTAAAATAAGTGCTGTGTTTCGTTTTGATAACTGTGTAAATCTCTCTAGGACAGGGTGACTTTTATCAATATATTCGCCTGTATTTACTCCCCCAAAATTAAATGCTAATGTGACTATCATAAAGAACAACAAATGCCATGATTTTCGAATCTGAGAGTAAATAGAGCCGAATATATTGATAAAAGTCACCTTGTCCGAAAGAGATTTACACTGTTATCAAAACGTCACGCCAGGGTAAGCCTACACAAAACACAGACCTTATTTTAAGTTTTTCTAAAATCCCCTATGGGAAAAATGATTTGAACCAGTTCCCTGTTTGACCGCTAGGTTTTATGGGTATTATGACACCTCCACTGTGGGGCTCTATTACAGATCTAACTATACATAGGACAACTGGTGTATATTTAAGCAATAAGGCCCGAGGGGCTGTGGTATATTGGCAATATACCACAAACCCCCAAGGTGCCTTATTGCTATTATAAACTGGTTACCAATGTAATTAGAGCAGTAAAAATGTATGTTTTGTCATACCTGTGGTATACGGTCTGATATACCACGGCTGACAGCCAATCAGCATTCAGGGCTCCAACCACCCAGTTTTATAATCGGGAAAGAGTGCACTTTGGGCAACTTTCCATCAATAATCTCTCTCCCTCTCTTTCTGTTTCAAATATGTTTAATTGTAGAGCAGAGGAAAAGCATACAAATGTAAATTTTGTTTAGTGACAACAGGAACATACAAACAATTACGCCAGGAGTATTACGGCAGGATAGCAGTTTAAACGCATTTAAACAAAATGTAAACATAAACAGTATTAAAGAAAAGGAAAACCCAGACTCAAGACCAAAACAACACACTCTCTCTTTCTCTCCCCATAGGGACTGCTACCACCTGGGCATCCAGAATAACTTTGACTACCACCGCTTCCTCAAGTTTGCCCGTGTGTGTGAGGTAGACGGGAAGAAGCACATCTGCACCCGAGAAAAGGTAAAGGCTTGGTCCTAGATTTCACCTCCCATTAATTCCCTTCATTGTTATGTTTTCATTCACCTTTTCATTCAACTTGGTAAAATAATTAGGTATTAGCCTAGTTTAGTGGTAATATAGACTAGGTCCTGCTATAGACTAGTGTCCTGTCTAGGGGGTGTACTTGTACATCAAGCTGCCTCATGCTACAGAATCAGGAGGTAGGGTTCCTGCCCTATGGGCCGCTCTGGCTCGGACAAGGCCACTTACTTTAGCGGTGATATCCGTGTGTGTTGTCTGCATACAGGAAGTGGGTAATCTGTACGACATGTTCCACACACGCAACTGCCTCCATAGAAGAGCCTACCAGCACAAAGTGGGACACATAATAGAGACCATGTAAGTGCTCTCACCTCAACAGGTATTCTACTGTTCAATATCTAGCTGACTTACTATCTCTTATACAGTCATACATACAGGTTCTCAGACATTCAGGTGTTTTTCTGCTGTATGTTATGTGTTGGAAATGTGATGTTTGATTTAAGTGTGTGTGTGCCTGTGTCTCTGTCTTGTTTCAGGATCACAGAGGCCTTGGTCAAGGCAGACCCCCACATCCAGATTCTAGGTTCTGAGGGAAATATGTTCACCATCTCCACGGCGATCGATGACATGGAGGCCTACACTAAACTCACTGGTCAGTTCAACCCCATAGAAATAGAATATGTAGAATGGCTCTGGTCTCGTCTACACACTCTCATTCTATGGTTCAAACTTCTTTGGTTGTCAGGGTTTTGTTCCAGGTGTCATGGCTGCCCTAACTGGCTGGGTTTGACAGACCGGTTCTCTGTCACTTTGTGGCACATTCATGTCCATAATCACTGCCTGGGTTTGGTTTGCATGATTGACCTCTCCTCTTCCCACACTCCTTGTCTCTCTCCCTCTCCCCTGTCTCTCCTCCTTCTCTCCCCCTCCCTCCCCATGTAGACCATGTGTTTGAGCAGATCCTGTACTCGTCGTCATCTGAGCTGGCCGATGCCAGAAAGATCCTCCAGAACATCACCTGCAGAATCCTCTACAAGTATGTGGGACAGACCCAGGCCAAGAAATATGTTGAGGTCTCACAGGTGTGTGTCTGAGGGATGGAGGGTGAATATCCTCCCATGGCTTACTAGGTAAGCTTTTTCAGAAGATCCATATTATGTGCCTCTCATCCTCCTCTTCTCTCCCCCAGGAAAAGCTCCTGAACTGGGCAAGCAGCGTGGCGAAGTGCAGGCCTGTTAGCGACCTCCAGGGCGTCACTCTAGAGCCAGCAGACTTTGTAGTCAACGTGAGTGTTCAGTCTTTTCACCTCAATCAGGGAACTGATTGAAGACACATAACATATCACAGAACATCCCTCCCCCCTGTCTATAGATAACCCTTTATTACCATTTGCTTTATTGAAAATATGTCAATCAATAAAATGTATTTTATAAAGCCCTTTTTACGTCAGCAGTTGTCACAAAGTGTTTTACAGATACCCAGCCTAAAACTCAAAAGAGCAAGCAATGCAGATGTAGAAGCACAGTGGCTAGGAAAAACTCCCTAGAAAGGCAGGAACCTAGGAAGAAACCTAGAGGAGCCAGTCCTCTTCTGACTGTACCGGGTGGAGATTTAAGAGTGCATGTGGCCATGAAGGCCAGATTAACCGACATCTGTTTTGGGGGGGTTATTAAACGACCGATGTTGGTTTAATTACTTGAATTCCATTTAGTTCTAGGTTTTTTGTAAGCCCAATGTGCTGTTTCTCTAGAGAGAAATCAAATCATTCACAATTTAAAAGCAAAAAAATAATTGTAATGTCATTATTTCATAATGCATTTAATGTTTTACAAAAATAATCGAAACTGAAATTGAAAACCGTGATTATTTTTTAATAACCGAAACGACCTAGAAAAGCACTAATCGCTCAGCACTACTCTCTTTGCCTCTTCATCTCTCTCCCTCCCTAGAAAAGCACTAATCGCTCAGCACTACTCTCTTTGCCTCTTCATCTCTCTCCCACCCTATCTCTTTCTGTCCCTCTTCCATTCTCTTCATTAGATCATCAACATGGACTGGGGTATGAAGGAGAAGAACCCCATCAACAACGTGCGTTTCTACTGCAAGAATACCCCAACCAAAGCCACCCAGATCTTCAAGAACCAGGTCAATACTGCAATGCACTCAAATCTTTTTAAAAATAGTTAATTATTTTGGATCTTGAAAACATTATTTGACATGATTGTTCTCCCCTGTAGGTGTCTCAGATGCTGCCAGAGCGGTTTGCTGAGCAGCTGATCAGGGTCTACTGTAAGAAGAGAGATGAGAAGACTGTGGAGGCAGCTAAGAAGAACTTTGTCCAGTGGTGCATGGACAACAACTTCTCCAAGCCTCAGGTCAGGAGGCCTCTATCTCTTTCATTTGCTGTATGGATCTCTTTATCTCAAACTCTTAGCGTTGTGTAAGGAAGATGACATTCGAGTGCAAGGAGAAGCCACCTAGCTATGACTAGCTTACCTGCACCACACGTACTGTACTTTCTCCAAGTTTAAAATGGACCCTGGTATCTGTGTGTTTGTTTGTGACCACGTTTGTTTAGGACGGCGATTCGATTGCACCGGAGCTCACCCCTCTGAAGCCAAGCTGGGCCAACAATGACGGTGAGAACAATGATGAAGCAGATAGCCAGGGAAGAAGAAGCTGGGCTGCAGACAACCGTGGACAACAGAAGGCAAAAGTCAGACTCTTTGACCAACTAAACTAACTTTCAAAATACAGAAATACAGCTGGTATGATGCAAAACACAGCATCATATGATGCAAAATGCATCATACCGGCTATATTTCTGTATTTTGAAAATTATCCTTTAAGGTGTGGCTCTCCCATAGACATCAATGGGATAGCAGCTGTGTCTGGTCTGCTTAGTTCATTGGCTTTATATGAACCAGAAAAAAGTAGTTGGATTTCTCGGTGGTGACCACCACCTCAAGAAAATGTGAGTCAAGCCCATTGGTTGAAAAGGTGTGTAATGCATTCTTTAACCGCCTTCTAGTGATGATGAATGTTACATGGCAGGGAGCAGAAGGTGTGAGTAGAAGTTTACCTTTAACACAGTTTTACGATCACACACCAAATTCTCACCTGAACCATCGGGGGAAATGCAGAACTGACCTCAGATCAGTATCTAGGGGCAATGACCAGAAGAAGTCCCTTTACTCGGGGTTCTGTTCACTCTGATTCAGTTCTGTCAGGGATTATATCATATAGTCATTATTTTATTAGCTTTTTATCTCATTTTATTTTAAGCATATGTTTTAGGTTTAAGTGTGGTTATTTAGCCTTATGCCAGTATCATTATGGTATTACATTGTAAGAAAAGTGTGGGAGCATGTGTGTGTCAATATACTTGCGCCACGTTCCTCACTTTCCCCCTCTTTTCCCCGCTATGCATCTTGATGTGCCACTATAAGACAGGCATATTTCAGATAGCCTAGCAACAACTGCTACATATTTATCCATCCTGGTGAAAGTTACACTCAACCCATTTTGGACAATCATGCTTCTTTTACATTGTAGCTGTATTTATTTCATGTTATTGTATCGACATACAAACATGCAGGCAACCATTGTTTGTCTTTCAGGACATTGTCGTTCTTATAAGCATGGTTTCTATGTGGGTTTGAGTTTATTATTGCCACCCACCGTAGTTAGCCTGGTCGTTGACGTACGTACAGTATGTAGGCTGAAGTAGGGGTTGACTTAGCGCATAAAGATCAGAGATCTGGCGTATAGCTTAATTATTTTCCAAAAAGTTGGCCACTTTAACTGACCAACAGAGATGGGCCACAGTGTGGGTAGTGTACATGGAAGAATACAATGCATGCAGTGTGGGATTTGAGAGCGTGGGATTTGAGAGCTGAAGCTTCTGTTTTGATTTTGACATTTGGTTTTGATTCTCTGACATTGGTTTCGGTTTTGAAACGGGTCAGTTTGTGATTAGTGTGGTGTTTTTCTAAGTGTTGTGTTATCATATTTATTGTGTTTTCATCCATGTACCCTACTGATTGTTTCCTACCTACCTGCCTGTCTCTGACTACTGTTTGGTATAATTTGTGAGTCTGGTTATGTTATCTTCATTTAAACAATGTAAACGCAACTTTTACTCTACAGTCTGCCTCGAGATAGCCCACTGCTGTTGGTCATAGATGGTATGTTTGTTGATTTAATTATGTACTTTGTGGTTAAAAAAAATATATATATAATTTGGAATTAAAGACTAATCGTAGAGATACAGTCTCACCGTTTGAAGGATTTTATGATACAGAGTGTAACTGTCAACAGCTGCAAAATACAACTATTTTCTCTGCCTGGCTATCTGAGTTCTGTTTTCTTAGAGCTCTGTGTAGATGTCTGTAGGCACAGGCCTGGGATCAGCATTTCCTCACTACAGGCAAGTAGCTTAATGGTTAAGAGCGTTGTGCCAGTAACCGAAAGGTCGCTGGTTCTAATCCCCGAGCCGACTAGGTGAAAAATCTGTCTGTGCCCTTGAGCAAGGCACTTAACCCTAATTGCTCCTGTAAGTTGCTCTGGATAAGAACTTCTGCTAAATGATTAAAATGTAAATGTAATCCTCAATTTAACCATTTGAGGGGTGAACTTCATCTGGTGTTTCACATCTTTCTCCACTAGAGGGCGATAAGACACCATTTCCATAGAGGGGATTTTCTGTAATGCAGAAATGGCTCTGGCAACAACCACATATCTGAGTAGGCAAACAATACATGGCTCACTGACAAATGGATACACACACACACACACAGTCAGTAATACCAGTTAGTCTAAGTAAGGATTTTGCAGGAAGGGATTGCATGAATGCTTGCTAACTGTCCTGGCCCGAGTCTGCTGTGGAAATGACTATTCTATTCCTGGTTGAAGTCACAGAGGAATAAACTTCTGTTGTTTGGACAGGAAAGTTATATTACAGGAAGTGGATGTAAAATACCACCCTGCCACACACACACACACACACACACACACACTCTTCCATTGCACATCCTGTGGCACTGATTCTCAGAGCCAGCGGAGGAATATCCACCCCTCCCTCACACCACCACAAGGCCAACTGCCTGTTATAGTATTTTTATAATCTTCATCCTCCCTGACCTGTAGCTCCCCTCCTGGCGCCAGTGGTCTCAGCCCCCCCCCCCGCCCCCCCCGTATCACCCTGTCTCACACACACACTCAGCCCCCCGTACCCCCTGTCTCACACACACACACCCACACTCCCCACCCCCCCAGCCCCTTCATGGATAATTGAGACCAGCTGTTGCAAGGTGCCTTCCCTCCTCCTCCTCTACCCCTCCGTCACTCTCCTGCTGCACTTGCCTCTCTGGCAGATTGGGTTGTTATTTGTAGACCCCTCCCTGCTTTTCCAACACACACACACACACATAAACACAATCCTCCCATTCCATAGGCCTCTAACTGTGCTTGTCAATACCCATCAATTGTTATGATTGACAGATGTGTGTAATTTTTTTAACCCTTTGGATTACCTGCATACTTGTGTGATAGGCTGATTTCTATGTTTTTGTCACTGATCCCCTATACATTCTGAAACTCACATAAACCAATATTAGACATTATGACTCACAAACACACACTGGGGCTGAAGGTATGGGGGAGCTGATCTCCTCAAGCCCTGACACAAATGGGCCAGTGGTGGCAAAACGCTGGCCCAGCCGACACACTCAGGAAGGAATGCAGCGTGAGGGGGAGTGAGGGGGGGGGGAGATGTATTCCTGCAAATGACTCTATCCCAGCTGGTCCTGAGGGGTCAGCCCTGTGTGTGTGTGTGTGTGTGTGTGTGTGTGTGTGTGTGTGTGTGTCATGGCCTCTCATTGGGGGGTGAGACGTTGCGGCTCCAGACCCCCATGGTAGGATTGCTCAGTGAGTCTGCAGGGATCCTGCTACTTTGATGCCCCCACCCCCTGCCAGGAGGTTAATGAGGTGCTGTGGAGGATCTGACTGGAGCAGTGATGGTGTAGAAAGAGAGAAAGAGAAATAGCTTGTGGAGAATAATATATAGATAGAAAAAGAATAGAATAATAACTCTACAAAGCACAGTCCTTACCTGGCTAAACACCTGATCCCCATCTGTCAGCCTATGTCTCAGGGTAAAGTGCAATTGATTTGGATACGAGACCAAATTGACTTTTGGAACTGAATTCCGATTTAGGAATGAAAAAAATTACAAATGATTGGAAAATAAATTACACTTTTTTTGAATATTTTCAATTGAATTAATAGACATTGAAATGGAATTGACCCCAATGCTGCAGTAGCTCAGTTGGTAGAGCATGGCGCTTGGTTTGATTCCCACGGGGGACCAGTGAGTATGCACTCACTACTGTAAGTCACTCTGGATAAGAGTGTCTGCTATATGACTAAAATGGAAAAATAGAAGCTGAGAGACTGACGGTGTATGTGTGGGGGAGGTTTTTCTGTTTGCAGTGCAAGTCCAGGCCAGCATGTATGGCAGAGGCCTAGGACTCAAAACAGGTCCTCTCTTTCTTTTCATCTTACTATTTTTTCACTCATTCTCTCCATTTCTTCTCTCTCCACACCTGCTGAGGTGTGAGGGCTTTTGCTGGGAGAGAGGGGCGGAGGGGAAAGACGGGGAGGGAGGATTGGGAGCGAGGGCGGAGGCTGAGCTAGGAGGGGGAGGGAGGATGGTGAGGGAGGGCGTAGGCTGAGCTTGGGGGGGGGGGGGGGGGGTAATGTCTTTGTTAGTACTTTCTTTACCTCCCTCCTTATTCCCTCTTTCCCTTGATGTGAGGTGTCAATCCTAGGTTGATTAGCTATTTGTTGCTCATTTAGCGCTCCAGTGATAGAGGCAGGAGGGAAGGAGAGAGGGAGTGAAAGGGGGAGAGGAGTGAAAGACTGTTAATAGAGTGGCTGTTGGTGATAGTGAGAAAGGCTTAAGTAACCTCTCTGTTTAAAGAGCAGATAAATGAAAGATGAGTTGGCTAAATGTCCCAATATGCTAAAGTGGTGGTTTCCTGGCTTGCTAGCTTCCTTTCCTGTCCTGTGTCCTCCAATCTGAAAGAGCAACTCCACCGTGCCTTGTGTATCAATTAATCTAATCAATTAATCATGGAGCAACACTAATGCATTTGATGCAAACAGCAACCACAAGAGCAACCCAAACCCCTCCAAACTCTCAAGAGAGCAAGCCAAGGGGAGAGTTGCTAGGAAGAAAATCCAACATGTATCAAAATCAAATCAAATCAAATCAAATCAAATTTTATTGGTCACATGCGCCGAATACAACAGGTGCAGACATTACAGTGAAATGCTTACTTACAGCCCTTAACCAACAGTGCATTTATTTTAAACAAAAAAGTAAGAGTAAAACAACAACAAAAAAGTGTTGAGAAAAAAAGAGCAGAAGTAAAAAATAAAGTGACAGTAGGGAGGCTATATATACAATAGAATAAAGTGACAGTAGGGAGGCTATATATACAGGGGGGTACCGTTGCATAGTCAATGTGCGGGGGCACCGGCCAGTTGAGGCAGTTGAGGCAATATGTACATGTGGGTAGAGTTAAAGTGACTATGCATAAATACTTAACAGAGTAGCAGCAGCGTAAAAAGGATGGGGTGGGGGGGCACCCCATCAGTGTATCTCCAAGGATGATGGGGCCTAAAAATAGGAAAGGTGGAGGTGGGCCACTTTAGACAATTTGAACATAGACTTGTTGTATAATCTGAGTGACTGATCC